AAATTAGAAATGAAACCAAGGAGACTCTTCAACTCATACATACCGAAGAAAAGTAGAGATTGTCATTTATAAATCAAAAATTAAATAATTAATTTCCTGGGCATTGAAAACTAGTATATATGAAAAGAACATTTCTATATATTAATTTTTCAATCTTTATTGCTAACATATATGTTTAAATCGAACCTAATCCTATGGGCGAGTGATGTTAGCCACTCCTGTAAAGTTTATTTTTCTCTCTCAAAAACAACGGTTCTAGTCGGTTATATGATAAAAATGTTCAATATATATATATATATACACGCTTAAATCTTTCTTTCACATGATGGAGCAGGGGTCATGGTACTGGCTCGCCGGTGGGAACTCATAGACACAATAAGGCGTTGTAGACGGCCAAACCAGAGCCTGCACCATGGGTTCTTCTTTCTTTTCCTCTTTCTTTTCTCCTCCCTCAGCCGTCACGCTCACTAGCTCTGCAAATCCCACTTTCTTTCTCAGCAACATCGTTAGCTGAGCTGCGTCAACTCCATCTCCCTTCACCTCAATCTGGGTCTTATCGTCGCCTTTCAAAGCCGCCGACTCCACACCTTTACAGCAATTAATCAAATTTATATCGAATTCATTAATAACTGTTCTAGACTAACAAGAAAAGGTAAAGTTATGAAAGAATTAATTAGATTTTGTTTTTACCAGGGAGACCTACTGCAATCTTCATGGCTTTTGATCGGGATTTATGCCCGTTCATCGAAACCTTAATCGCCATTGTTTGATGCATAGATCAAAATAAAGAATTTGAGCGCGTGATTGATTCAACTTTAAATCTAGTGTGGATATTGATGATCTATACAAACCTTCATGGGGATGCTGTTTTTATTTTGTTGAGACCACTTGAGATATAGACAGGGGACAGACAGAGGTTCCTCTGTTTTTCAGTTTTAAGAAGTAGGAAGCTGTTGCTGCTTCGGACTTCGGAGGAGCCTCTGAATTGCGTAAGAGGTTGATGTGGGGGTGTCAACTAAGATTCTGTGTTTATATAGAGGTGTGGAAACATAGAGGCGTGGGAACTGGAAAGTGGAAACCATGGAGTAGCTGCTGGGACGTTCCTTGGTTGGTTCGTGGAAGAAGTTAAAGATTGATTAGATCTTTCTCGTCTGTAAGTGTTGGTTGACATCAAAGCTAACTTCGTTTGCTTTTTAAATTTTAAGTGCGAAATGGGCCTTCCTACAAATTGTGGTCGTTATAGGAAAAAATGGAGTTTTGGGAGGAAATAATTGTGTTGGGATGGGGTTAGTTAAAATCTTGTTATTAATCCCGTTTGGTTTGATTTTTTTTTTATAATTTGTATTGGGGAATGTAGCTTTTTATAGGATAAAAATTTAAAATCTTAATTTCAAATTCTAAATAAGAAATTTTAAATTAGTATATGATAGGTATAAATTTAAATTTATTTTTGTTGGTTCTATTTAGTTTAATTGAAACCCCTGTAAACGGGGTGATGTAAATAATGATACTGCAAACAATTGCTAAGATGCATTTGTTTAGCATGATGGATTAATTCCCTCCAAAAATGTTACGGTAGGCTAGGGAGCGGTATGGTTTGATGTGACATAGATGATTTGAAATACTAGAAGCGAGTAAGAGTTAAGAACCAGTTCAATTGATATCGGCAGAATGATTGAATTAATACAGGTCAAGTCTTTCCAATGGATAAGGAGCAAAGGAGTGGCAGAGCTGTTTTGTGTTTTATATGCATAATTGGATCATAAACATCAGGGCATCCTGCAGTAAATGAAAGGTACCATTAAATGAATTTTTGGCTGGTTGAAGTATGAATGTAGCCAAGAAGGATGAGACGGTGCACTCAATTTGCTTATTGTAATAGTTTCATCTTGTACTTTCTATATTTATTTTTAATAAATTTAATTTATTTTTTTAATTTTTAAAATATAAATTTTAAATAAAAATTTGATAATTTATATAAATAATAATTACAAATTTTT